AAATTTCAATTTTGAACACCCTATATATCTCTGTTATCATTCCTGCTAAACCTCGAGTGTGATACATTGATGAAATCGGCTCTTCAAGAAGAATCTGGAAATGCAATTATTTACAGGGTGTTGCATTCGAAATAAAAAAGTTGGTATCAGTCGCTGTTACATGACACGCCCTGTATAGATGATTTTTGTTGGGATGGATGCGCTTCAAAGAATAACATCGACGTGTTCGAGCGTTTTCTTTCAAAGATTCTCGTTTATTCCGAATCTATTCCATTATAGGTTCTCATACTGGTATATTGATTACATCTTGCTGAGAGACCTATGATATTTCAGGATACCTGTCTGTTACGTGTCTGTCAATTGACCATGTTTTAATAGAGAACAGTTAGGTATCAATGATTCACCATTGATGTTGTAAAATATATGTAGGACACATGATTGTATGTTCATATATGAGCTATGTTTCGGTAATAAGACAATGGTGTTACGGTATTTTTGTTTTTTTTTTGTGAGGACAAATAAAGACAAATTATTATTATCATTATTATTATATACGTTTCGAACACAGTATGTATTCAATATCAAGTGACCTTGACATTCCAAGGTACCTGCGAGTCTCATCAACCGCACATAACATATATCTGATAGTTTCCATGTTTCATGAATCATATAAAGGTTATATGTGTACAAAACAGATCTGTGTTTAGTAGGTACTTATATCACTTCTGCATAACGCAAGGGATCTCTCACTGGGCCATGTCTTGAATCTTGAAAAGTAATAGGTAGTTTCTGTACGTTTCCTGAGTGATTTTGGAATAATTATATTCTGACTATATTTTGCGTCTACATACCAGCAGAGCAAATAACCTGGAATCTAAGTAAGTACCATGAGCAATTTATATTTTTATTTGAAATTATTCGGTAAAGAAATTGTTCAGTTCTTATCTCACTTTGATAACTACGGATAAATAGCTGACAATTCTCACCGATTACATTGACAATTCACCTGTTCACCATAATAGACAAGAAAAAAAAATTGCCCCAATAGAAATTATTGAACGTTGATCGTTGACAAGGTTACCTTTTGTCATGGAAAAAAAATCCTCTTCTATCCTGTATTTATGTGAGCTACGTTATGAGGTGGTGAAACGAAAACATTGCAAAAATAACATAACAATTCTGTCTGAGATATAACTGAAGAACCTAAAATTAACATATTATAATATAATCTAATAATATTATTTTCAATATTGATGCAACGTCTCAAAAACTATTTACTTCATTATATCATGTAGGATACTCATACTGTTATTTCAACAATATTACGAATCATTTTTAGTGGAAAAGAGTTAGAGAGAGTGTCACCCGGTTCAAAGAAAAAAATTGAAATATGTTGGTTATGCTAAATAACCTTGATCCAGGAATAAAATTCATTACAATGAATATATTTTGTTGTCTGGCATGTCTGTCATATCCAAGCTCCTATCCAGTCGAATCAAGTTAACTGATATACATAAGTTGCTAGATCTCTTAGCGTCGCATGACAGTTGTGTTATAGTATCGTACTGGACAAATAGTTCGTCAATTGAAGCTTCAGGTTTTACATAAAATATGAATGATTTTAATGTTTCCATCTCATTCGGATGTGATGTTTTCGTTCATTCGAATGAGTTGAGTTGAATAATACAACAGGCCATGTACTTATCATGAATATGATATCCTGGACTCACCGATCAATCTCAGAAACTTTGTGAGGATATCTGTTAAATAAGGTTTGTTTTCCCCCGATTGATTGCTGGACCTTTTGCGCTCTCAGCGCCCTGTCCTTCGGTAAACTAATTTCTGGAAACTTTATTATCCTTTTTGGCCTGTGCACAAAAGTCGTAGAAGTAGAAACAGTTCCGGGAAAAACGATTCTCCTGATGTCAGGTCAGACCACTTCTCTCATATGGGTCAGCAAGGTTGTTTATTGGGGGCAATTTAAGAGAATGGCGAAATAAAAAGTCAGCCTGACTGAATTATAGTGTGCAAAGTAGGTGTAATATGGAGGATCGTTTATATATGGAGGTGTTTGTGGCATTTCGATGTAACTAGTTATGTGTGTGGACATCCTCATTATACACTCCAAAAAAAAATTCCTGAATCATAACGATATTATTTCACTCTCTAATTCTTCTATAGAGAACATGATGATTGTAGGATTCTAATAAGAATCAATATTCAATTGGAATACATATTTTGTTTTAACAAATATTTCAAATTATTCGCATTTCCATTCTCTAGGAAACAAAACCAGAAATCTGAGTACAAATATACTCGATGAAGATATTCAAAGACTGATTATTTTTTATCTCTAGTGTTATTTAATTGATATAGCACAAACATAAGCTCTAGAAGTTTTAGGCCATGAAAGTTTCTGTATGATAAATATTTGTTGTTGAAAAATTTGATTCTTGAACACATTCCTTAGGATAATGGCAAGACTACTGGCAACATTGTGATAAAATTCTGAATGGATGCGTTTTTCAAGCTGACACATCGCATGCATTCGTTTTTATATCTGACTCTCATAGAGGGTCGTACCGAAGAGCTTTAAACATAACTTTTTTGACGTAAGATTTTTCTGTTGAAAAGGAATATTCTCAGATAAATTATGAACATACAAAAATGGATATATAGTTATATAAAGCAATACATTGAGAATTCGCATTCTCTATGTGATGAGAATATTTACTCTTTTTCAGTTAATTCAATAGAAAACAACTACTTTCCTGGCTATATGCCACGACGAACATTGAATTATATCTATTGAACACACACGATAAGAGTTTGAAAATAAAATATAAAAATTTCTGAAATTGAGAATTTGCATTCTCCTTCAGACAAAAATATGTATATACACACATCATTCTGAATATTCAACAGAAAACAACTACTTTCCTGTTGAATATTCAGAATGATGTGTGTATATACATATTTTTGTCTGAAGGAGAATGCAAATTCTCAATTTCAGAAATTTTTATATTTTATTTTCAAACTCTTATCGTGTGTGTTCAATAGATATAATTCAATGTTCGTCGTGGCATATAGCCAGGAAAGTAGTTGTTTTCTATTGAATTAACTGAAAAAGAGTAAATATTCTCATCACATAGAGAATGCGAATTCTCAATGTATTGCTTTATATAAATATATATCCATTTTTGTATGTTCATAATTTATCTGAGAATATTCCTTTTCAACACTTTCATACCCAATCAGGGGATTCAAACTTGAACGATGGAAACTTGTAATTTTTATAGACCTCTAATCGCAGATTCGTGATAGAGTCTCAATTCAGAATTCATTTCCACGCCCTGTATGATGAATGTCAATTTATCATACACCCAAAAGTAAGATTTTTCAATTCTAATTTGATGTGAACTTTGAACATTATTCAATTGTACACCAAGAAGGTCCTCTTGGTTAAACTCGATACTGTGTTCCATTTTCGTGATATTTGGATTTGGAAATGATTGAGTGATAAGTGTTGCTGGTATGAAGTTCTGCATTACAGTAATTATTATGGAAACCCATCACCTATATATTAATTGATAACGAGGAACAACAATAAATGTTTCGATGCTGAACTCATTGATTCAACAATGAATCAGAAGAATTGCATTGAAATATTTTGACTGAAAACATGGATGTCTAAACTACAGAGGTAAATTCACGTCTAGAGTTGCGACAATCACTTTAATGACGAAACATCTGATCCTTATCCGTTTGAGACTATAAAGCCTTATACACAAAATAATATAGAATCGTGTATTCTTGTAAACGGAGGACATTTTGAATACTTCTGATTCGATAATTAATATTTTTGTGAATTTTTCCATAAATTTCTACTTGTGATTCGTTGTTCAATCGATACCTCCAGCACAAGAATATTATTATTGTTTCTGGATCTGAATAAAACGGTAAATGATCTCAAATAAATTCATTTCATACTAGCATCAGCTATTGAGTACATTCTTTTCAAATCAAAATATTCCGGAAACGGTACACAGTATTGTGTTTCATCAAAGGTTCCTTTTTGATATCGAATCCAATGATGTTGAAGTTCACATCAAAACCGGATTGAAAAATTCAACTTCGAAAATGGTATGTTTGTAACTTCTCGGTACGAACCGTTTAACTATATAGTGCCCGCTATGGGAACCAGATATTGGAAGAAATCAGGAATCTTCATTACGCAGTAGTTTCGACAAAATCGTGAAAAAAGTGTGGAAAAAACAATTTTTCAACACCTTGAACAAGATACAAGGTGTACAAGTTCTCACGGCATGTTTTTACTGAACAAACCCAAACATATATTGCAGTGTTCTACTAACCGTAGCGAGAAGAGGTCAAGTTTTTTTGAAACACCCTGTATACCGACTAAAAAAAAAGTGGACAATGCCTCCATGAATAGTCAACGGTAGACACGTTTCGGGCTTTCAGCCCTAGTATGGTAAATAAAGTGCAAAGAATAGGCAACACTATATAGGTAGAAGACAGAACACTATTCTACGGTTAACTATTTTTGTGGGCTATGTCCACTTTTTTCTGCTCAGGTTTTCATAACATTGACCTTCAAGATTCCTTTCATTATTCCTTATAATCGCCACCTCAGGAGCACCACCATTAATTGGAATGCAACAGTGGATCGTACGAGATCATCTCATGCCAGGGCTACGTGAATTAGAATTATATAACTCTCAGAAGAATATATCAACTGCAAGAACGTGAAATTTACATGAATTCACCCTAACATCCAAAACCGAGAATATCAGAGATAGAACAAAGATGTTTGAGGAATATTTTCTTTCTACCGGCATTAATTTTTGATGATGGATAATTAATCCTGTTATTATAAATCTGTTTCATCGATTACACTTATTTACTTGACCTGTCATTGACCCTTATGTGTATGAATCTAAACAAGCGCGATATTCGAGGATTTCATCAATTCAGAAGTTATTCATAAAATGTCCATCAGATCGCATACAAACTGCAAAACATTTCATTTCATCATTGTATCAGCATTCGTAGTGTTGATCAGAAATACCGTGAGTGAAAGTGATATCTTATTTAGGAATGGTTGGTACAAAGATGATGATGACGGACCAAAATATACTATTTCTAATGTGCCATACATCGACAGTAAAGTAGTGCCAGATTCAAAATACTTGCAAATAAAATCAAGAATAACAACTCTTTACAATGGAAGTGTAAATAATTTGTTGAACGTGAGGACATTCAAGCTAGTATCTTGTGAAATATTGAGCATCAAATCTGGTGCCTTCCTCAATCTACCGAATCTAACAACTCTTGCTCTCAATGATAACGAGATCGAGCATATCAACAATGGAGTTTTCAACCACCTCACTATAATGCGGTTATTCTTGCACAGAAATAACATCCAGTCAATAGACACTGAAGCTTTCGACAATATGCCTTACCTATACATGTTGAAGTTGAACAGCAACAAACTAACAATGTTGGATCCTAATTGGTTCAAGAAATCACCCCAACTAACTGATCTGTACTTGAGGAGAAATGAAATAACAAATATACCTAGTGGTGCCTTTAAGAATATAAAGGGAAGTCACAATATCAACGGTACAGAAACTGTGGATACAAAAATTTTTCTGAGTAAAAATTCCATTAATTTTATACACCCTAATGCTTTTCAAGGATTGGAACGTTTGAATCAGTTGTGGTTAGACCGAAATGAGCTGAAGCATATTGAGGAGATGGTGTTCGCGGGACTGGATTATGTTGGGGTTATATTCCTGTCTAAGAACAAACTCACAGGTTTACCAAAAAATATCCTGTCAAGTTTGAAAATGGATTTGATGACCTTGGATCTTGCTGGAAATAAAAATGTGAGCTGTTTGGATTACGAGATTATATCGCGAGTGAAGATAACAAATTTGGAAAAAATACATAAACTTGATTGTCATTGTATAGATTTCCTCATTAGGAAGTTAATCGAAGGTGGAGAGGACAACGAAATTAAGACTGATTGTGAAAAAGATAGGACACGTTGAAATGTACGGTTTCTTGTAATTATTCATTCAAGATGAAATTTTCCTTTTCTCAATGAAATTGTATATCAGGAGGAGTTTGGTTCCATTTCCAGTCAGAACAAGGAATATATTTGTTTTTTATATTCAATCCACGAATTAGACTCATCGATTATTTCATTTGTTGCCAACTTGTTGAAAAGAGTTCCATTTAATGATAATAAAACTCTCTAAATCCTGGCCAGAGATGGGTCTATACGATTCAGCGCTGCTTTTCAATTGACAGTGCTACTCATAAGAAAGTGTACGGAGTTAAACGTCCACCAGGAAACATTCATGGACTGGAGGACCTCTCGTAAGGTTGATGACCAGTTGTTGTTCACATAAACCAACAAACTAGATCCGAACAGAGTGAATCTATTCCAAGCAGATGGAGTTGAGTTTGAGGGAGTTCGATTTGAATGAACCCGATGGAGAATAGTTTTTCCACAGCTTTTTTAATACTTCGAAATTCACTATAGGTACTGCAAATGGAACGAAAGTTTATTGTTCAACAAGCACGAAATGTTGTTACTAATTGATTATCATTTCATATGTGTCATACCCCATACTTTGTCTACGGCTGTAACAGATGACAGCAAATTTTTTATTTCTTCGGCTTCTCTTAAGTGATGCCCATATTGCCCATTCAGTAGATAAAACTATCATTGCTATTGAGTTATTCACAACTAGTAAAGTAGACCCCTGAAAGAACAGAATTACTGCATGGTTATCGTATATATAGCGCCGCTTGAAAGAAAAAAAGTATTTTTTTCTACATTCATGCAAAAAGCAGAACTTCATTGAACTATATTTAGTGGACAAAGAAGTTCTTTATTGCACTTAGTGCCATAAAGTTTTCATTGCACTCATCTGTCATTCTACTTCAACGTGCTGTCATCATGACAAACATTTTTTATATTGCAACTGTGGTTATAGAACCGTCAGTCAAAAATTAAGTTGCGTTTTTCATTCTCCTACACCTAGTGTCGCACCTCAATAAATCATTTTCTGCTTTTTGCATGAACGTAGAAAAAATGTTGTATGCAACTAGTGCAGAAATTGTTTATTGCACTCGACGTGTTGTCGACAATTTCACGTCGAGTGCTATAAACATTCACTTTTTGCACTCGTTGCATAAATAACTATCAATTCGCGTCCCAATACGACAATTTTATCAAAGAATAAATGGATTCCTATAATATATATAGACGATCTTACAACTGATATTATACGACGAAAAAATAGTGTAGGTATCCAAATTTTATAACAGTTAGTATTATTCAGATTATAACACGGTTGCATAGCTATTGTATTACTCATAATAGTGACGTCAAAAGTTGGTTGTAAAGGAAGCTTCATGAATAGTTGCATTCGAGTTCCTCAAGGAGAATAATAAAAAATGCTTCACGCAGAAGTGAAATATCACACAATGAATATAAAAGTATTTTTCTACATTCATGCAAAAAGCAGAACTTCATTGAACTATATCCAGTTGAAAAAGAATTTCTTTATTGCACTTGGTGCAATAAAGTTTTTATTGCACTCATCTGTCATTCTACTTCAACGTGCTGTCATCATGACGAACATTTTTTATATTGCAACTGTGGTTATAGAAACGACATATATATTCATATTGAAAATTGCACCAATTGTTCATTCACTTTCAACATTGAGGGTAAAAATAGAGTTTGAGTTAAATTGTTCGTAACGTATCAGTTCCTGTTTCCATGCAAATCGATATTAATAATGAAGTATTCAAGTTGCATTTTTCATTTTCCTACACCTAGTGCCGCACCCCAATAAATCATTTTTTGTTTTTTGCATGAACGTAGAAAATATGTTGTATGCAACTCGTGCAAAAATTGTTTATTGCACTCGACGTGTTGTCCAACTCGGCCTAACGGCCACGTCATACAATTTCACGTCGAGTGCAATAAACATTCACTTTTTGCACTTGTTGCATAAATAACTATTACCCCTTTCATTTTTTGAAGAGGGTAATAATCACCCTGTAGATTATTTTCAAATCAGTGGATGGGATATCTATTTCAAATCTAAATGATCATTGATTCAAATGATTCAAGATAATCGAACAGAAAATGAAGGATAACTCACAATTATTTCTCAAAACCTATACTGACAAAGGCGGATAATAATTCTAGTACGGGAGATAAGTGACCAAATTAACTGAATAAAACAAATTTATAGCGATGGCTATACATGACATTTTCACATATACCTCATCCACTAATTCGAAAAAGATCTAAAGGGTTATTATTATACTTCACAAAAGAAATTTATTACTAAATCCAGGTTTGAAAATGAAATAATATGTTGATTTGCATCGAGCGGAAGCATTGAGAATTCAAGTCGAATGAATAAATTGTTTGCCAAATTTTCGTTTTTTCATAAAATTTATAGTTTTTTCGAACTGCAGTGAAAGTGTAAGGAAAATTTCAAATATTTCATTCTTGATGTTAGTTTGTTACCTTCGAAAATTTCCTGTCACAGTTTACAAAAAACGTTTTACAGGATGAGCTTTTTGCTATATGAACTAAACTATCAAAAATTTGTCAAGTACGGTCCTCGATTCTCCCGATTCTGAATAAGTCAGTCGATTAGAGAGTAGTAGATCATTATTCCATGGAAAAATTAGACGAATAGAAAGAGCAGTTGGAGAGTTATGACCAAAAGATGTTTTTGCCAAATCTCATAATTCACCCCATACATTGGGAAAGAAGTGTATAGAATACACTTTCTGATGAATATTCGGTATCAACCACAGGGGCCTCTATTCGTGGTAGGAATATGTGGAGCTCCTCATGACTCACCCTGTAAAAATTTTGCCCCTTACGTAGCGAAATAGGTATTTGATATTTTTTTAATTGACTCGGCCTTTACTTGATAGAAATCCATGGCAAATGTAAAAACTCCACAAACAAGTTTTTACAGGTATTCAATATTTTTAATATCATCAACAAGAGACTCCATTACCCACCGCCATAATATAATGCCTGATTTTGGATATTACAATTCTGTCAAGACACAACGCGAACGGTTAATATAATAATTATACCCAAAATATTCTTGTGAGAATGCTATAGAGATATTCTCTGCATTATAAAATACTTTCTCAGTGAATCTATAAATGTTCCCTAAATACTCTTGAACCGCAGAATGAGAGTACCTACTGCTATACAAAAGTTTGGTAAATGCATTGTTCAAGTTATCTTGCAGACATACTTATGGGACAGTTATATAATCATAATATTGATAATCAAAAAACGGTTCGCAGTTCACTGAAGGATGTCCTGAAAGAACGGAACTGTTTTATAAACTAGGGCCATCTTTGGTTGTGAAGACATATCAAATTCTCACTTATCTTTTTCTATATACCTTTATTTCTCTTCTCCAAAATTTTTCCAATACAAATTGTCACTGACAAGCTAGTGAATTTTTCTTGCAGGCCCTATGATAGAAAAATTTTTTAAACGCAGTGACATTTTGGGGCAAATCATCTGATTTGTCCTTACTACACGTATATTGAAATAATATTCATATTTTTATGTTATAGAAACGAGGAGAGAAAATCCCAAAAAATTTGGAATAATGAATGTACCTCCATTAACCTTCAGACAGTATTTAGAGATCATCTTGTTGATACCCGAAAGGACGCTCCATTTCCAAGAGAAAACGAAAAAACGAGATCAAACTTCAAATTTTGATGTAAATGCTAAGCTTGTGTACTTCATTCAGGACGTCCATTACTGGATAACCACAGTACCTATGTAACATTTTGAAACTTTCGCACCGTTTCAGGCACATAGCAGAAAAAATTCTGCCATCAGGAAAAGGTATATAGGCTGGATAAAAAAACAATCCATGTATATGTTCAACTTTGATACCCTGTATCTCAAAAGTAAGTAATTTCACGACATACGTTCATATGTAGCTATATTCTCGAAATAGGTCCAATAATCGCCCTCTTGAATATAAGCATGTCATCAAGGAACACCCTTTATATAAAATTTCATATTTTCAACTCTATCTGTCGAAATCATTATAGAGTTGTAGGTTCATACATTTACTTTGTTCTGCAAATTGATGCTAACTATTTTGTTGAAGATTTGGTAACTTCTGTATGTGACTTAATATATTCTACAAAATTAATTATATAAAAAAGAGGACAACATGACATTTTGATAATGTATTTTATCAACTACGAAATAGCCACAATGCTCAAAGTGGAATGGAATGTTGAATAAATAGAAGAAACTCAAAGTCATTTCCACACAATGTTTATAAAATGAACAACAATGGTAGATTTAGGGAGAAAACCAACTACTTTCCTGGCTGATGCCACGCAGGACATTGAATTACATCCTCCCGAAATCTATGCATCGACTCGTATAAACGAATACTGATACAAGTATAGTGATTCTTTCCTGAATGCCTATCGAAATCAATAGCAAGGGGGAGGATGTAATTCAATGTTCTGCGTGGGCATTAGCCAGGGAAGTAGTTGTTTTTCTCCCGAAATCTACCATTGTTGTTCATTCCATATTCCATGAACATTGTGTGGAAATGACTTTGAGCTTTTTGTATTTATTTAATGTATTTGATGTCTTCGAGATGAAATCCAGTGTTGTAAAAAACTTATTATTCTATTTACAAACGATTAAGGCATAATATGGTGAATTTCTTCCGAGAGCTCCTCGTTCTTGGATGTTTTGTACTTGCTGTTCGAAAGAAAATTAAAAATATCTCATCATGAAAAGATTCGCATAAGGCCTAAACAATGAGCTTTTGTTACTTACGCGATGAGAATAATTCATTCCAGGATGCTCTCCGGTATGTGACATGATATGCATTACAAGGTTAATTATTTATACCCATGCAAAGAAAAAAAATGATAATTATTATAAGTCCAGAGGGTATCTTTATATAACATGTATTTCGATAAAGTGAAGAATTCTCCAGACAATAGATAATTCATTTTGCAGATTATGGGTATCAGTATAAATAAACAACTAGGGAAACTATGTCAATGATCATCAAGCTCGAAACTGCTGACTCGTAGGAAACATGATCGACATTGATTTTGGAAAGTTCTTCGATTGGAGTGAGGTCGGAGATGGAGATTTAGTCAAGTGTCAAGTCAAGTAAAGGGTGACTTTTTGAGTTGTTACTTTTTTAACTGTGTATAGAAATCATTCAAATAAACAACTTTTCCAAATAACTGTTTTCAAAACGCTGAAAAACAAGCGATATACAGAATAAATAAGTTTATCTGGGCTTGTGTATCAACACGATATTAATCTGTTCAAGTTAATTTTTTGCTCGGATTCTGGTCTTATCGATCAGGCGATGAACCGATCAGTTGGTTGAATTAGACATCAGGACCGTATTGGACACGTGTTGTTATGATATGTAACCTTTCATTTTCAGTTGTTGCTATATTGTGATACCTATTATAGAGATGAACTCGTTACCAGAAATATAGAGAATGATAATTGAATAGTGATATTTTAGAGGGTGATTACTTTTTATATTTCATAAGGAAAAGTGCATAAGTATATCATTTTGTTCTGACTGACCCCGTTTTTGGGATACAGAGTATCAATATGCTTTTATGAGAAATCGTAAACGTCGTTTTGTTGATAGTAATAGGGCGCTCTTTTCGGGGTGATGCAATTCTAAATAATAATTCCAGTGTAATGATTTACCTTTTCGATATATATTTGAGTATGGTGAATGTCATTGTACGTCACTGGTTTCTCTGAATTTCATTATCTCTTCAGATTGAACGATAGGAAAAACATTCAATTTATTCAGTATTCAATTATTTATCAATTTTTCATATTATTATTCATTTCTGTATATTTCTTAGTTTTTGATTGAAACATTGAAAATCGAAACGACTCCAGATTTTGATATACAGTGTGGTCATTTAAGTGTTCAACATATGGGAATCTTTTTAATGAATTGCACAACCAAAATACAGATAGTGCCGAAAGTTGGTGCATGTTCGGTAATCATTTCAGGTGTACTAAGATTGGTTGCGAATCAAACAGCATACAGGGTAGGTCAAAGAATATATATAAATTACTCAAAAGTAAAGCACCCTTATTTCAGGAAATTCAGCGGAATGTTATTGAGAGAAGTTGTTCACAATTGAAAGGTATGTCTAAATATCAGAACATGGGCACCTGAGACATTTTTCAGTTTTTCAATTCTGTTCGTTAATAATTTCCCAATTTGTAACATTTTAAATACAAAATGTTCACATTAAATGGAAGTTTTTGATTTATGCATATTATCATTAATGATGTTTCATCTTGTTAAAAATATGGTTAGCGAAATTTTAAAGTTGAGCTGAATATCGTTGCAACAAACATAAAGTTTGTGATTATCTAAAAAAATTAAAATCCAATTTGATTGCACAAATGAGCTTGAATATGAAAGAAGGTATGCTCAACTGATTTTGTTATGATTAACTTATGAAAGTATTCTGGGTGAATATAAAGAAATTACAAATTTGTAAATTATTCACGAACAAAATTGAGAAACTGAAAAATGTCTTAGGAGGCTATGTTTTGGTATGTAGGCAAAACTTTCAATTGTAAACAGCTTTTCCTGATAACATTTTGCTGAATTTTCTGAAATAAGGATACTTTACTCTTGAGCAATTTTTATATTTTTTGGCCTACCCTCTATGCTGTGTGACTTGCAACCATTTTAAGTGTTCCTCAAATGAATACCGAACATGCACCTACTTTCGGCACTATCTGTATTTCGGTTGTGCAATTCATTAAAGAGATTCCCATATGTTGCACACTTAAATGACCACCATGTAAACCTAGTATTTCAAGTTATACAGGGTGTCTCGAAATTGCATTGGAGGATTTTGACTCATGTAGGTAATAGGAATAATAACAAAACAAAAATGCACATAATCATCGGTCCCGAAATGGCCTCTTTCTGAGGTTTATTGCCATCTGAATGCGAGCCCGACACGGCGCATTTTTGTAAATATAATGAATAATTCACATTCACATTATGTGAATGAATGTATTCAACCTTTCCTGTCCAATTTCTGGATGCTGAGAGTATCTCAGAATTTTGATCAGGTTCATTGTAAATAGGAGGGCTGTGAGCATCTTGCCTCCTTCTTTTGTGCTCATGCAATATTGGGCAGTTCGAAAAAAAAAAATGAAAATCTGCATATTCTTATACGTATAAATTGTTCGATTTTGATGAAATCAACAGTTCCCGAGATGAAACAATATTGAAATTGTGGTGCATGCTAAATCAATACTGCATGTAATGAATGAAAATAGTGCCTTTTACTCAACAGGGTGAACGTACCATGATATTTGTTTCTAACAACGT